GGAGGAACAAGTCAAAACGAGACAGGAAGGGATTGAGTGAGGTGGTGGAGAAGGGAAAGCCCGGCCCAGAGGACCTCTGATTCGTCCTGCTCTTGCTTCTCCTATTATCCTTTTTCTTTTCCAAAGACACTTGCCTTGTATAAGGTATCATTTAACTTTACTTGGGCCATCAACCTTGATTACTTGCATGAGGAGTCATCCCACTTTAGTTGGGTCATCAACCTTGATTTATTAGGTCACTCTCTGCACTCTATTTGCTAGCTTCTTGAAGAACACTGTCCACCTGCGATCCTTTTTTTTTGGCACCCTTGTCTACCTACGTCGTTTTTGTGTAGCCTACCCAAGTTCCTAGTAATTATATTGTTGAGTATAGTAGATAATTTGTGTATTGATTTATGATGCATCAGCTATTGAAGATATGCCATGTTGAGTTATGATATTGTACTAGGACAATGCCTGTGCATTGCAATGGGGTATAAATATTCTAGTACGCTAGTTTGTGATTTACCTGCCCATATTAATGTGATTATGTAAATAAATGTTTATCAAATTCTGCCCGTGATGTACCTTATAGTTTGTTGAGAAGTTTGGGAAGTAAATTAAAGTGGGATTGTTTTAGAAGGTAAGTAAATTAAGGTGATTGATTATCATACGGAGAAGGTTGGACGAAGGGGTGGTGGGAAGAAAAGTGAAACACGGAACCTTACATCTTTTTTAAGTAGTAGAGATAGAAATATTGCGACACTTGTTGTAATTTGATGCATTGACAACTGTGGTATTGCTTAATGACAAGGTTTATTTATTGAGTCAACTAGAGAAATCTGAACTACTGGGCCTGCTCTTGTGATTTTTTGGCCCCTATGTGTGGAATTGGGGAGCAATAGCATAGTATTGTTTGGTATGGTGTTGCTATCACTAAATAATACGGATCAGATATTTTTCTTAATGTCTCCCTTCTAGCTGCATCCATAGTAATCACATGAAAATAGTTATGCTGTCATGCTTTCTTTGGGGAATAATAGGAGATGCTCCATTTTGGTTGTATACATAAAGTTGATCCCTACACTTTCCTAAGCCCAGACTGGAGTACCCGAATCATAGAACTTTGGGCATGTTTGGATTCTTTGTACAACTTGCTGTGCCAAGGAATGAAAAACTAGCCCCACATGATTAGTAGCTCAAGGTATTTGGTTATGTTGTCTTTAAAGTGTAAATGAGTGTTCATTTTCAGAAACATATAATATATATTTGATACTCTTTAGTGGACCACAGCATGACCACAGGCGAGCCCCAGTTTTGCTCCCCTCAGTGGGCTCATATTTCTTTGCACATGTGAGCAGAGTTTTCAACAAGGCCTAGGTGTCGGGTCAGTGGCAACCCAGTGCCTAGCATCCAGGCCACCAAGGTCCTTCCTAGGAATTGCACTGCAAGATCATGCAGCTGAGGCTGCTGAGCACTGGGCATTTTCTGTTCCCTTTAAGGAGGGTTTTGAGCTCCACCAAATACTAGTCTAGTAGTCTTGCTATCAGATTAAATGGGAGTTGGATGGGCTGGAGAGGGAACAAAACTCTTGCTCCACGGACCGAAGCCCGTTTGAAGTAGTGACGGAATGGCAGCAGCACATGTAGCCTATGCGTTTACTTGAAAGCACTAGGTTTCTGTTTTCATCGTTTTGCCTGATGGGGGCTTTCCCCTAGTTCTTATTAGATGACCAGCCAGTACAAACGAAGTCTCACCGTACAAAGCCTTAAGAAAATCTGCTTACTTCTCATTCAGACCATGAGACTATTTTCTATGCCATTCTTTCCAAACAATATCTATATCAGAGGACTTCAACGAGCTTCGCGGGCAAATCCTAAGTTGTGATATTGTGGCAATTAATCTGAACATGTTAATTTGTTATATGTGGTTGCAAAAGTATTGACCAGTCATTTTAGATGTAGAATCATGTCACTGTTACACCAAAATGCAAGTGCAGGGTTTAAAAAAAATGCAAGTGCAATACACCAATGTGGCTGATTTTGTGATTACGAAGCATTATGAAGTACTTTTATTATAATTAAAAGCAAATAATCTGCAGTAAGGGCAGTTTTTTTTTGAGAAAACACAACATCTATTTTGGACTTGGTATGCTGGCTTCCTTTACATGGAATTGCAAGCAATATATAGTCACTTTTATTTTGCAAACATCATCTGTTCTGTCCAAGTCACCCAGTTTTTTTTTCCGAGAAACTTGCAGGAGCATGTTTTTTGGAAGAACTCGATGAATTTGGTAGATCCTTTTAGGAGACACTCAATGGGACTTAAGAGTCATACTAAAACTTTAAGCTAATAAAATATGGAGGGTCTGTTGTGCAATTTATAGATCGTTGTACGTTGATCTGGGCTGGCTAGGACTGTTTGAGTCATTAAATCTAGAGTATCAACTTTTCTCTAACAGTTTTTTGGGGACACTTTTAAGCATTGAATTATAAGCCACACTGTCATCATTGAAATCACCACAGCCACATTTGTCAGCATTGATTTAGTTGATTTTGTCAGGCATGGTATAGTTGCATCACTCTGGCACCTGTCATTTATGGTATAGGTTTGATGCCATTGTCCTTTATGTGAATAATTTGATATAAATCATTGGGCTTACTGTAGCAAACAAGGAGCCAGGCTCAACTTTCATGAGAATAGTATGATAAATAAGTTATGCTAACCAACAGAAATCATAGTAAAATACCAAGACATAATTGTGTTCTTCCATGTTCCATCACATGCCCTGCAATAAGGATGTGTCGACATTACAAGATAGAAGCACATTGTGAAACCGTGAAGCCTCCATGGCTTCATCTCTTTGATTATGGACCCTCTTATCTGGCAAACGTTCGCCAGGAGGGGTGGCATTTGCGAACGTTTTGATGGCATTTTTAGTTGTGTGGGGTGGCAGTTTCTTCAAAGTGACATGGCATTTCCATGTCGCTCTTAAGAAACTGCCACTCCGCACACAACTAAAAATGCCATAAAGAACATTCGAAATGCCACCTGTTCGCAGTGAACGTTCGCCATGGAACATTACCGTTGATTATAGGTTAAAAGTTGCACAATAAGAGTAGTATATCAAGATGTAGCATAAGGGTGCTGCCATTGTTCGAAAAAGTTGCCACAATATCCCAACCTGGCTATGGACATCAAAACTAACCGGCTTTATGAACACAGAACTGTGACATGCTTTGAGGGGACTCTCCCCTCTGCACATCACCATGTAATCATCATTTTTTTCTTTGTAAAATTACACCATAGGGGCCTCTCGCCGGTTTTCCAAAAAAGGGGCCCCATTGCATTCTCCCAATTATGGCACTCTTTATGGCTGCAGTATCTGTTCGCGATGCTTGTTTTGTGGAATTAGTTCACTATAGTGACGTGGAATAAGTTTCTAATTCGATGTTATATGCATTGGTGGTGTAGGTTGTATGGCTGCTTTGGACGCGGAGCACTACCTGCAGGAGGTTGGCGCACGGGAAGGGAAGACTGATTGACTATATGTGGGGAAAGCAGCTGGTAGTTCTACAAAAATTTCATTGGTGCCAAAATCTGCACTCTGAGGCGCAATTGTGATGAATAGTGGCAGCTCCTCAAAATCAGCAGATTGTTATTGGTTTTAGGCCACAAGTATATGATACGCTGTTGGAAATTTGTTCCTGTGGATGGTCAAGTTGTGCTGGCATTTTCACATTCAAAATATCTGAATGACAAAACGAATTTGTGAATCCTGATTGCTGTCTCCTTCCTGTGGATGGAAGGAACATTTAAACTCAGGCCAATTCCGTTCTTTGAGATCATACTCCCTTTGGATTGGAATATAAGTCGGGCATCGGATTTTTGGTTCCCGTGAACTCTCTAAATCGATGACCTAAATGCTTGCGTTTGATTTAGGGGGTGTTTGTTTTCAGGGACTTTTTTGTGTAGGGACTAGAAAAAGTCCCTCATAGAGTCTTTTTTACCAAACGGGAAAGACTTTTTAGGGACTAAACTAGACATTTGAAACTAAATGAAAAAGACTCTCAAGGAGAGTCTTTTTGGGATTTTTTGAGACTTTTCCATCAATGCCCCTCCATGCACTCATTGGCCCGCCACCCCATGGTGTTGTTTGATTGTTATTTTTCTATATACTAGGGGCAACATGGTCATTTAATAGCCTCTAAAAAGGGACTAGGGACTTTTTAGTCTCTGGAAATTTTTTAGTCTCTGAAAACAAACAGGGAAGGACTTTTTAGGGACTAGGGACTTTTTAGTTGGGACTAGAAAAAGTCTTAGGACTAGAGAACCAAACACCACCTTATATTTCCATCGGGAGTAGATGAAATGCCCCCAATTTATTAGAGTAGAAATCATGGGAACCAAAATCTCTTGTTACTGGGATCCGGCTTGCCTGCTCCCTTCCCATGCTCCCATCCATGTTCCCACCTCATCCAACGGTTGTATTTTTTCCTTTTTTCTTTCTAATCTAATCATCTCCCCCCTGATTTTAAGGAGATGTGGCCGGATTTTATTTTGTTCCAATCAAATGAAGCCACATATGCGGGAGCACAGATGGGCATACGAAAGGGGAGCAGGCAAGTCTCGTCCTTGTTACTGAGCTTGAGGACGGAGAAGCCCAAATGATCTTCACGGATGTCCTGCTCTTCAAGGAGCCGCGAAGGTGGGGGTCAACCGAGAATTGAAATTTGTGGAATACCTGAGAGAGGACTGATGCCGATGGGGGAGGACTGGCAGATCAACGGTGGAGCCAGTACCTATGTTTCAGGGTGGGTGGGAGGGAGCCATCTCAATGTTGTTATGTTATCGGTAATTTCTTCTTTGAGCAAAAGTTGTCTTAACTTGTAGTAATTGCTTGAGTTATGGTTGGGATCATCACAGTTATTTTATAGGCTTGTATTGATCTATTCCTCCTCTCTAGTGTGACTATATTGCCAGACCATGGTTGTTCAAAGTAACGCGGCCTCCTGTGGGAGCTTGTACGCTTCCTTCTACCATGACCGTGTTTTAAAATTGGGTTTTTATCAGTTTTGCCATCAGCTGTCTAACGCTACTCAGTTTTGTCACTAAATGTTTTCACTAATAAAAAATGCCACTGTTTCGTTAGACACAAACTCAGAAATGCCATTTTTCATCGTTACCGTCTGGTCAATGCATGTTGACTGGAGGTAGATGACGAAACTACCCATGTCCCATTTGTAAGGGGCAGCGCGCGAGCTAACCAACTGACCCTGGGAAGCACTTAGTTTTGTTAGGAGATATATGTTTCATATACAGATATTCAAACCTAACTAAACAGAACCCTTATCTAATCTTTTACCGATCTGTTCGTGGCAGTTTCCCCAGCCGGATCGGAACCAAATATCTGCAGCCACCGCCGCCGCCTGCCAAACTCCTCACCTGGCACCGCCGGTCGCCGGGCTGCCCACCCAGCTCCGGCGCGCCCCCACTCGCCGCAGCCGCGGCGCCTCCCGCCGAGTGCCGCCACCCACCGCAGCTTCGGCTCTTCCTCCCGCCGGGCACCGCCACCGGAGGCAGGCAGCTCCGGCGCTTCTCCCGCCATACTCCGCAGCTCCTCCCGAGTCTTGAAGGGCAGTTGTTCCACGGCAATGGCGACGAACAGCACGACCGAATCAGAGGGTTGCCTCGGCCACAGGACGCCCCAGCATGACATAGGCTCTGAAATTCCTGCATTGTGAGTGTACTAATTCTCAGTGTGCAACTAGCTTCTGCTTGTGCCATTGATGGCCGTAATTGGCTTTACCCAGTTGCATATGGGGTGGTAGAGACAGAATCATCTGAAAGTTGGGCTTGGTTTCTTCAAAATCTGCGTGGGCTTATTGGGCATCCTGAAGGACTAGTCATACACACTGACGCTTGCAAAGGTTTAGAGACAACAGTAGAACAAGTGTGGCCTGGAGTGGAGCATAGGAGTGTATGAGGCATCTTGCTGCAAATTTTTGAAAAAAAATCAAGGGCAAGGTCTATGATGATAATCTTTGGGCTACAAGCTTAACTTTCAGCTCTAGAAAGCACAACTGGCATATGAAACAGATCCTTGCTAAGAAGAGTGTCCAAAAATATATGGCTAAACACCACACAAAGATATGGTATAGAAGCAAGTTCAACGAAATATGCAAGGTTGACTACGTCAATAACAACCTCGCAGAGTCATTTAATAGCAAAGTCAGAAAAGTTAAGTCTCTTCTTATTGTCGACATGTTGGACAAGATTAGGCGGATGATAATGGAGAAGTTTGATCTGTGGATGAGGATAGCATTAGAAAAATGGCTTGGCCATCTCATAATACCAAGTGTGATAAAGGCACTGCATGCCAAATTCAAAGGTAAATATCTTGTACTCTTTCAATTGATTAATTTCATAACAACTCAATTCAATAATTAATGTTTTGTGTTCTTTTCAGGGCTGAAGATGATGGTAATTAGACGCAGTGATGTTGAGGCAGAAATTACTGCAGTGGACAAAGAGAATAGGGAATGGAGGTACACTGTTGACATCGCAAAGGAAACATGTAGCTGCAGGCAATGGCAGGTCAAGGGTTTGCCATGTATCCATGCCCTGTACTTTATTACTTCACTACGAGGTCCAGTATCAGAAATTGAACCATATGTACATGAGTTCTACTCCGTTGCAAAATTTAAGGCTGCGTATGCGGACAACATACCTGCAATGGTAGGCAAGCAACAATGGGACATTGTTGACCCTGGCTTCAAACTACATGCCCCAGTGTTGAGGAGGCCAAAAGGTCGACCAAGGAAGACTAGAATTAGATCTAGTGCTGAAGGTGCTGGCGTGGGCGCTAGGAAAAGGAAGTGCAAGCGATGCGGAGGCTTCGGGCACATTGCCAGATTGTGCACAAATCCAGTTGACCCAGCATTTGGAGAAGATGAGGCTGACCTCCAAGCTAGGGAAGCCCCTTTTGTGGCAGGAGAAGGCGACCCTGAACTATCAATAGTTGCAAGTTCTGCTAGGTAACATCAAAAGAACATGTGCTTTTCTATATGTATTTTCAACATCTATTTTCATTCTTTTTTGCAACATGACTAACTTCTGTACAACTCAAAGAAAAGTGTGAAGAAAACAAGTGTGAAGAACACTAAGAAAAGGAAGGACATGCAAAATGAAGTTTGTACCACAACCTATGGACCTACAAGTGGATTTGTTTCGTCTCCCATGCATATTCGAATTACAAATGCGGAACTACCAGACAGTCCTGCTAAAAACACAAGAAGCAAAAAGAAGCTACATATGTGAAGTTTGTGTGATCGTGACCTTTTGCTTGTGAACCTGGACATGTTTCCTTTCAACCTTATGCATGTTTGAGAATTTGGACCTTTATATTTCGATCAACAAGTGGATGTTATTGAACCTTATTTATGTTTGTGAACCTGATTTGGTGTGCTGAAAAAACAACAAGTTGATATTTCGAACCTTATTTATGTCTGTGAACCACTTTGTGTTTGTGTCGTTTTCAGAAAAATGGGCAGCAACCATGCTGAAATTTTCAGAGAAATTTAGAATACCATGTGATCGTGATGTCATATGTGTTGTTTCTGTCAATTAGTATGTGACCGTCAAAAAATTTGGGCGTGGCGGTCTGGCTCATTTGTTTATGTCTACTAGTACTAGACAGATTCTTCCAGCCGGCCAGCCGCTCATGCAGATGTGTTGTCCATACTAACTTTCAAACCCAAGTCCACTAGCAACAAGAAAATATATGAGAAAATATATTATAGAATACTAACTTTAGCTTTGAGTGATCCAAGGGAAAGCGGCCCCTTTTTGTGCCGGGAAGAAGAATGAGATCCAACTCAAAGTCAAGGAAAGCGGCCTAGACCACTGACTTTTGATGGAAGGCTTCTAAACATGGATTGGTCTGATAAAGCCAATTTTTCGGCGAATCAAATATTTTCTGAGAGCACTAGACCTTCTCTCTTTCAGGATTGATTCTCACTCACTGCCTGATAGCAGGCTTGGCCCATGAGACCTATTGTCTTATTGTACTGGCTCACTTCACTACTTTGGAGGATGGGTTTTCCCCCTTTTTGGTTCGCAAACGCTCTAACCCATCGAGAAGCTCCATCCAAATTGGAGTTGATGTGAGCACTTCCCCAGAGGCAGAGGCTTTTTCTACAAAAGGGTGGGAGCATAAAATGTAGGTGAGTCAATTGCGTGTGGCCTTCAAGTATTTCGTATTGTAACAATATTAGATCGGCATCCAAACAAAGGTGCATGTACGGTTCCTAAGGGATACAATTTTGTCCTAATCATCGAGAAAGATGAAATAAGTTGATAGCGCGATCTCGTACTAACACATACTCTCTAAATATTTCAGAACTTGCATGCGGCCTTCAAGCCACAACCGCGGTATGAGTTCTGATCTGAGACTTTGGTTTGGGGGCTGCTGGCCCCTTCGCGTCGACAAGGAAACTGTGGACGACAATGGGTTTAGAATTCGAATAAAACGAAGACCCTATCG